TCAACTAATTTGAGAGTGAACCCCACATCACAAATAATGCAGACAATATTATTGTGATGTTATTATAACATTATTATAAGATTAATGCAGAAAACATTATTATCACATTAATGCAAATAATACCTCAAAAAGTAGTTAGACTCTTCTCTGAACTCTAATAGATCATAATAGCTTAGACAAAATAATTAAAATAGGGATTTTTTAGTGACCTATCATCTACAAAATAGTATATAATACTATTTCAAAACTAAGGATATATTGAGAAAATCTGAGGAAGAAAGAACTGTTTTATTCTTCTGGAGTCAATACTTAATTTTGAATTTTCCTATTGAACATTTGTATAGTACTATTCTGGAGCTTTAATTAAACTGTTACTCCCTGCTGTCAGGGAGAAACATATCACTAGCAGTCTGTATAGAGTATTAATGCTTTTTATTTTTTATTGTTTTGGCTACCAAGAATATCTTGCCTGCACGGCAAAGCCTGGCAAGATACCTGTGACATAGTCAATATGCCAAACACAGTAACAACAAGTATCATGATGGAGACGTTACTGGGCTCGCTTGAGCAAATCAATGAACAACAGGAGGACCATGACCGTGACCGTGTGTTTTAGCTACACCCAGAAGTACTCAGGACATCCTCATGGCTCTGTGCTCAGAAATTATTTCTGGGGGAATTCAGAGTACTATTTGAGGTGCTGGGAAATTGAATTGTTGAAAGGCATGCAAGGCAAATCACTTATGAGTTATACAAAATTTTAAGCCATATAAACATTCAACTGTTCACTTAAGAAAATATGGTTGGTTCTTGTTATTTGCCTATGCCTATTCACAAAGTTTAAGCTTGATTGTTAATTTATAATTTCTTCCAAATACTTAACTTAGTCACTGAAGAATTTTTCAGCCACACTAGAATTTTCTGATGCTAACCTTCTTGAGGACTTTATTTAAAATCTTATATTCCACTATATTCCATCAGATCTTCAAGAGCCTCTGAAGCTCTTAGTTTAATTTTTAATCCTTGTATTTGCAGTAAATTTAGGTTTATAAAAAACTCTAGCAGAAATTTTATAGGAACTTAAGTTTACCATATACACACAACTTCCCCACTATAAACATTCCAAGTGACTATGGTATATTTGTCATAATTCATAAACTATGTTGATTTAAAATTATTATGCTCTTGAAGGCTTATATGATATTTACTCTTGGTATGACTGAGTTTTAAAACCATTACAGTGTTTGTTATATGGAATTGTTTAATATAGGCCTCAAATAATACAGAAATCCTTTATGCTCTTCATCTTGATCACCCCTCACTCCTGGATCCCTTGATAATCACTATTCATTTTACTAATTCTATAGTTTCACCTTTTCCAGAATATAGTTAGAAGTATATAATTCTTAATTTGTTCAGATAGGTTTCTTATGCTTAACAATATGCTTATTTTTTCTCTATGTCTTTCACCATTTGATATCTAATTTTTTATCACTGATTAATATTCCATTGCATGCTCATCACTGATCAAAATTCCATTGCATGTTTGCAGCACTATATGCCTTTTTATCCATTAACTGAAGTGCATTGTATTTACTTTCAAAGTTTAGATATTATAAATAAAACTGCTATAAATATATATGTGTATTTCTGTATGAATATACATTTCCATCTCATTTGAATAAATTCTAAGGAGCACAGTGTTAGGTTGCATACCATGAATATGTGTAGTTTTGTAAGAAACTTCAAACTTTCTTAAAAAAAACAGCTATAACATACAAAATATATACCAAAAATCGAGGTTTACAAAGCATTAGTAAATGAAGTAAAATCTAATCTTTTCAATTTTTTCTATTCCATTTCTATAGTGTGACATCAAAACTGATTTCACAATATTGATCTACAGTACCCATAACACATTCTGGAATAACAATATATTTCTCACTATGAATTGTTTGCTTGTTCCTCAAGATAGTGAAACTCTACTAGGAGCATTATTTATAAAAATATATATTCATGGTAATAAGAGGCTGATGGTAATAAGAGGAGCAATGAGATATCCTTCAGACACACTGTACATGCAGAGATTAGTCAATATTTTAAATAGGCACTAACTGAAACATCAATCATATATTGTTCTTCAACTTAGGAATATGAAAGTTGCTCAATTTTCTCCACTGGAAGCAAGTTTATCCTGAGGGTACATTTTTTAAATGACTGGAACTATTTTCACCACAATTTGAGGGGAGAAGGAGGTTTAGGGAAAATGCTAAATATTCTGCCATGTAAAGGATAGTCTCCAATATCAATATTCAGGACAAAGGTTTAACACTAAGGCTGAGAAACTTCACTTAAGACTAATCTAAACAAGTCATTTAAAAGAAATGTAATGTTTAGTGACACTTAAAAGAAAGATTTCCCATTTAGATAACAATCTGATTATTAATTTTATTATTGGATTTCAAATGATACATTAAAATTTATTTACATATGGCCCAGAATAAAATGTTGCGCAATGTTTATAGAACTAAGATAATATCTGTGGTCTTAATATTGTGAGTCAGAATCTTACCACCATGACATAGAATAATTTAAATGCCTATATGGTTTTATACATGAAGAAACAACTTTATCTTGAAGTGAGTTCAGAGAATTGGCAGCCAGCTGCCCAAATGAGTCGTATCTTTTAAAAATGATGTCTTAAGAGATTTCTAATTTAATTCAGATTGGCAGCACTTGCTGGAAATTACATAGATGTGGGGATTTAATAAAAATAGAGAATCATAGAACTGCTTAGTCAGGGAAAGGGAGTCTGAGATTGGTTCCTGGGCTCTAAACACACCAGAGTACAAATTACCCATGACTTTGTTGAGTCATTCATGTTTCCTGGCTTGAGTTCTCTTCATTTTAAGGTGTTGACCCTCAAGTAAACTGTATTATCTCTCCCCCAAGCACTGCCAGGAGCAATCCCTGAGGGCAGCGCCCAGAGTAGCTCCAGAACACTGGCATCATTAGATGTGACCCAATGCAACTTTCCCCATTCTGAGTCTATCTTATAGGTCAACTCTTATCTGTGAATAAATTTTTAAATATCTCTGATATTTTAGAATGTATTTGAACTATTTTTGTGCACATGGGGGAGTTATTAAAAAGTAACTCTTTTCCAACGTTTGGGTAATATCTAGTCTTTTTAAAGACTGTTCTTTGTATGAATACAACGTTTTTCCCCCCCAAAATAAAACCACTATTAACCATATATGTTCTACTACATATTTTTAAAAATCCTTTACATTTGGACATTATAATTTAACTCATTTAAATTAACTTATTTAACTATTTCAGTATTCTTCTAAAATAATATTTGTAATTAGTACTCTAGTTTGGATTGATTACTTAGTTTTAGCTTTTGAAGTGCTCTCCAAAAAAGGATTTGCTCAATGAAATATGCTCTAGGCATTTACTGTGTTATGTACTGGAATTGAATCCTGAACTTCAGTTTCCATTCCTCAGATCCATGAAGTGAAGCAGACAGAACAAAATATATATATATTTTGGTGTTAATAAATTTTTCATTCTTGGCTAGATATATTTCTTTAGCTAATGTAAAAATCAATGAAAATGCAACTCTCTAAGAGACAGGCTTATAGTAATTGTTGTTGTCTATTTAATTTTTTGTCCACTACTTTCAGCCATGTTTGTCCTTGCATCAAAAAAGTGCTAATTGTGTCACAATCTGATCAGCAGATCCATGGAATCAGCAGGATGCTTCTGAGCTTAGGAGGGTCCATCGGTGCCAGATATAACTTTATTTTTACACATATCAGTCCAACAATGGGTGGGTGGTTATAAGTAGAAAAATTTCTTCTTTAGAGGCGGTTGAGAAACTCCTCTCCAGTACTGTTTAGGAGGTCTCTGGGACCACTCCTTGATGGCCAGAGAATTCAATGCAGAGAGTCTGATGATGCAGTGCATAGTAGTGTGTGTGTGTGCACCTGTGTGTGTGTGTGTGTGTGTGTGTGTGTGTGTGTATGCGTTGGCAAGGAGGAGGATATATGTCATAAGGGCTACATCTGATGGTATTTGGAGGGTGCTAGGAGTGAAGTGTTGAGGATCAAACTTAGGTGCTTGTACATGAAAAGTGCTTGTCTTTTTTCCCTGAGCCGTTTTACTGCCCTGAAAAATTATTTCTTATGTAGGAAAGTCTCTTTGTTTTAGTGGAATAACAGAAAAAGAAAAATGTGTATTTGTTCATTATGAAGAAATGGTAAGAAATTTCAAGAGTTTTCAGATTTTTTTAGTTTAAAAATAGTCTGTTTCAAGTTCTGTTGGGGATGTGAAGAAAAGGAACTAGAGGGTATCATTCAGAGAAGTCTCTTGGGAGGAGAAACACAGATACAGGATGGTGTCTCTTCTATGTGGAATACAGAGAAATAGAGAATGAGACTAACAAAGAATCAAAGGCAACAGAAATTAGAGTTAGTCTACAGAACTGAGCTTACCAAGGAAGGGTGATCAGAGGGTTCCTTCGAAGGGAAGTGGGAACTCTGGTGGTGTTAGAATGATGTATGACTGAAATGAAACTATCATCAACAGTATTGTAAATCTAGTACTTCAATAAAGATGGGTGAGAAAGAAAAAAAAATAGTCTGTTTCTCATTTAAGGGACTATCCCTGGCAAAGTTATTCTAAAATTCTGAAGTCTTTTTTTTTAAAAATATACATTGATTATCATTAATGCTCCATTTTTCATGATTTAAAGAGTTGAGTATCTGTGCTGCATTTTTCAAACCAGGCTAACTTGATCTGCTAATTGGTAAGTTGAAATGCTTCATAATTAGCTATAGGTTATTGGTTAAAGTGATTCCAAATAAATCATATACTTAATTAATCATGTTATTAGGTTCAGTTATTCAATTTTCATTTCCATGGCCAATTATTATTTGTATTCTCATAAATGTATGACCTGCATACAGTTCTTTATGCTTGATGTACGTGGAGAATTAGAGGCCAGTTTTTGAAGCAATCCATTTTCGATAGTAAGTCACTTTTGTGTAGACACCAGGTTTGTTCTTTTGACCACAGTTATCTCCCCAGCTCACAATTCCAATGAGATACCAAGTATCTTTTAGATCCTTTACAACTAAAGGTCCACCAGAATCACCCTGAAAATAAAGAAGAAAGAAAATTAGCTAAATGTCAATCTTATAATTAATATAATAGCTACTTACTTAACTATTAGTCATGTATATAGATTAATGATTTAAAATTAAATAATTGCAACAGATTTTAAAAGTTAAGAAAGCCTTAAAGTCTAATTTTACACTTTAATTTTTCCCACAAAAACAGTAACAACCAGTCTCACAATGAAGATGTTACTGGTGCCTGCTCGAGCAAATCCATGAACAGTGGAAGGACAGTGCTACAGTGCTACAGTGCTAAAATGGATATGTTTGAGAAATAAAGTTTATATATTTAAAGTTCACATGATGATTAGATATACATATAACTTGTGAAATGGTAACTATAATCAGGTTAATTAACACATTCACCACTTTACGTCATTTTTTTAAATTTTGTCATGAGAATGAATAAGGGCTACTCTTGGCAAATTATAAGTACCACAATGCATTATTATCGTAGTGGGATGGTTACACAACAAAGGAGCTAAAAACATAGAGGATGAAAAGCCTTTTCAATAAATGGTTCTAGAAAACAAGTTAGACTCATGCAGAAGACCAAAACTATGTTAGAGTGCTCTTAGTTCCTCAAATCTTTCTCATCATTTCTCACCTTGCTGGTTAAATCATTGACCTTATTTCCCCACAACCCTGCACCCAAACCCTGTAAAAATATTTATAATTATAACAGAAGCTTCTAATTATAACAGAAGCTGAGATTTTTGCACCTCCTCCCCTTCTGAATCCTTTCTTAAAGAGCTCTGGTGACGGTGGTCCTCAAATCAGAGGCAGGAAACAGGGAAAATGTGTGATCAGTGACTTTCAGGACTCCATGAAGTTTGGTAACCTGCAGATCCCATCACCTTCTCAAGAGCTGATCAGTAACCCATTTAATCCAGCAAAGGCCCCTGCCCAGGAATTGTGAGCAGGCCTGAATTTGAAATCTTGCTGTTTCTCTTGCTTCTATTCGCTTCAGCAAATAGATCTCTTTTCCTCCCCCTCCTCCCAATAGCGTGTTCTGTTTGTCTTTGGGGCACAAAGTGTTGGAGGTTGGTATCTGTAGGACCACCATCTTACCCTGTCCACAAAAGTGAGCTCACACAGGATTAAAGACTTAGACTCAAGTTTATAGAATACATTGAAGAAAACACAGGCAAAACTCCCAGAAATACTGGCTTCAGTGGTATCTTTCATAACCAATTCCATTGGCAAAAAATAAAAATAAAAAATAAAAAATTAGTAAATGGAATTACAAATGACAAAACTGCACTTCTATAAAACAAAAACATATCCCACTAAATAGGAAGAAATGTTTGCCAACACTCCCCCCCCCCACACACACATACACAAAGGGCTAATATCTCAGATACATAGAGCACATAGAAATAAAAAATGGGCTGGAGAGATAATACAACAGGTAAGGTGGTTGCCTTGTCCACAGCTGACCGGGGTTCAAACCGTGACATTCCATATAACACCCTGAACACGGCCAGGTGTGATTTCTGAGTGTAGAGCCAGGAATAACCTCTGAGCATCTCTGGGTGTGGCCCCCAAACCAAAAATCAAACAAAAAAATTTTAAAAAAACCTCAAGAAACAAAAACAAAACACTAAACATTCTCAGTTCAGATTTCGGGGAGAAAATCTGAACAGATACTTCTTCAAAGAAGCTATGCAGATTACCTACAGGCAGATGAAAAAAATGTTTAGAAGCACTGAATAAAGAGAAGTACAGATCATCAAAATATGATGTATCACTTCCTACTAGTGAGAATTATTTACATATAAAAAATAGAAACAAATGCTGGCAGGGATGTGGAGAAAAATGAACCGGGGTACAATATTAGAGGGGATGTTAGATTTAGCAATTCCAATCCTAAGAACACTATATATATATATATATATATATATATATATATATATATACATATATATTCATTTGCAGTGTGAGTTAAACAAGATTTTGAAAGCAGTCCAATAAGAGATGAGCAAAGAAAGTATGGTATATATGCACATTGAATGTCACTCAGGTAAAGATGAAATTTTGCGTTTTTGATACAAAAAAAGATGGCAGTCAAAGGTGCCATGTTAAAAAAGTAAGTCACAAAGAGAAAGACAGATGCCAGATTATTTGAGTGGTAAGTAGTATGTTAAGAAACAAAGCAAGGGTATAGACAGTGTTCAATGGAGGAGTGCCTGAATGACTCTGATAAGAATATTGAGGCTTCACAAGTGAAAGAGTGAACGGGAAGAGCCCTATGGAGATGGTGGAGAGTTATTGGTATTTTAGTGGTGGGCATGGTGTGGTAACATTGCACTCCTAAAACAAACAAACGTTTAGACTTTTGCAAATTAATGTTAACTTAAAAATAAATAATTAAACCCCAATATTAAAAGAACTATGATGGTTTTGGTCACACCCAGCTGTGCTCAGGGCTTACTCAGGGATCACTCCTAGGAGAGTGATGCCTGAGTAGATGCAGTGTCAGGATCAAAGCTGAGTCAGCGATTGCCCAACAGCAGTACTATCTCTTGGCCCCAAACCCAATATTACTAACTATAGACACTGCCACTGTAATTATATCCTCACAGGTTACTCACAGCATGAATGAAGGGTCATATCCTTTGAGCAGAAATTTTAAGTTAAATTTTATGTTCTATTTAAGTAAACATGTATTTAAAAAAAGAATATGAAGGTACTTAGAAAGCAATTATAGATTTCACATCTTATCTGATCTGTTTCTCTAGAAGTATCCATTTGGTTTATAATGGGTAGTTAGTTTCTTGGAGAACTGCTGCGGATATGGGTACAGCCCGGCACAAGATTTATACCCTCTTCCCCGTAGAGTACGTTCACAGAACTGATAACCTTAACATGTTGACTCTGGTACTGCAATTTGTGTTAATTAAGCCACAATCAAGTGTGAGTCACTGGTGGTCTGTGTCGAGACCAACTTGTTAAATACTCAAGGGGGGCAGCGAGGGGCTGGAGAGATAGCACAGTGGGTAGGGCGTTTGCCTTGCACGCAGCAGACCTGGGTTCGATTCCCAGCATCCCATATGGTCCCCTGAGCACCGCCAGGGGTGATTCCTAAGTGCAGAGCCAGGAGTAACCCCTGTGCATCGCTGGGTGTGACCCAAAAAGCAATAAATAAATAAATAAATAAATAAATAAATAAATAAAAAGGGAGGCCAATGAGCTAGTACAGTGGATAAAGTGCTTGCCCTGCACACATCTCACCTGGGTTCAATCCTCGGCACCACATATGCTGCCGTGAGTCCCACCAAGAATGGTCCCTGAGCAGAGTCAGGAATTAGCCCAGAGAACCACCAAGTGTGGCCCCAAAACAAAACAAAACAAAACAAAACAATCTAAGGATGATGTGAAGAGTCACTACCTGCTTTACAGTTATGATATTCAATTGCCTAAGCACCATGTAAAGATGGGTAAGCCAGGCTCCTTCATAATTCTCAGGAAAGATTCAAGCTTAGACAAACAGTAAGGGAACTCCAGTGCCCCCAAACATGTCTACCAGGGTCACCCAATTCCGAGCTGTCGGACGCACTCGGGAAAGCTCCTATTTTAACAAGGGAAGGTGTCAGGAAACCCTGGGCTACAAAAACAGCTTATGTGAGACATCACTTCTGCAATATTCTTACCTGCCCTGCAAGATAGTGAGATAAGAATAGAGAATACTGGGGGTCTTGGGAAGGGTTTGGAAAGGGTGGGATTTTGCCTCTGTACTAATGAATAAGCTGGAGCAATAGAAAAGCAGGTAGGGCATTTGCCTTGCACAAGGCCGACCCAGGTTCGATTCCTCCGTCCATCTGGAAAAGTCTGGCAAGCTACCAAGAGTATCCCTCCAGCATGGCAGAGCCTGGCAAGCTACCTGTGGCATATTCTATATGCCAAAAACAGTAACAAGTCTCACCATGGCTGCTCGAGCAAATTGATGAACAACGGGATGACAGTGCTACAGTTACTTATAAAATTCAATTCAATATTGACAAAAAACAGAATCAACTTGCTGCTTGTACTGTGATAAGTCTGAAATACTCCTTTTGTTCCTCTGTCCAGTGAAATTTCTTTACACTCATCAATCACCTTTTTTGAGCTTTATCATTAATCTTAATATTAACACCTACATTTCCACATTTCCATGTTCTGTCTGTACCTAAACTCCTGTCACCACCCTACAAATGTCTGTCATGGCATGTAGCTCTTTTCAGATTTCTTGAATTCTAGCTTCCTCTCTTCAAATTCCTAGTAACTAAGGCTAGATCAGACATTGCTCCATCCTTGCATTCTACAAATTCCTGTCTCATTTCTGACAGCTGCATGCTATATAACTTGTGGTACACTGGGCAGGAAATTTTACCATCAATATAATTTCCACCATTTTACCAAACAGAATGACCTCCTTGGTTTTTTTTAAAAAAGTATTTCACACTATGAAAGCAATGCATCTAGGAAGAAGCCCATTGATACTGTTGCTAAAAAACACATATGCAGAATAGATATTTGAGGACAAAACTATACTGGAAAATATAATAAATATTCACAACATGGCATAGTCCAACATTTTAGCATGAACTACTTATAACCTCTCAATTTCCTTAGACTCAGAAACAACAAATTAATTGGGTTTCTTCAGAAAAGAATTGTAATTCACTTCTTTATAATTCTTTATAATTTTGACTATGCTCTTTTTCTCTTGTTTGATATTTTATAACTGGGAAAATGCCATTTATCCTTAGATTTTATTTAGATTTATTTGAATAATATCTTTCTGGATATTTTCTCGCGGCCGCGCGACATCTTAACAGAACTTTTTTTTATGACATCTTATTGTCTTATTTCTACTTTGGACAAACTTGCAGGTTATCGAATGTAGCCTGCCCACAGGGCAGAGTCTGGCAAACTCCCCGTGGCGTACCAAATATGCCAGATACCAGTAACAATGATGGGTCTCACTCTCCTAAATAGCCTTGAATATAATCTCAGGGCTAGGATGAAAGAGACGTTACTGGGGCCTGCTCGAGGCAATCGACGAATAACAGGATGATGAAATGAAATGAAAAAAATTTTCTCCAAAAATATTTTCTTCTGTAGAGAGATAGTAAGGCAAGTAAGATGCTTACCTTGTCTTGTACATAACTGGCCCAAGGTTGATCCCTGGCACAACATATGGTCCTCTGAGTACTACCAGGAGTGATCCCTGAGCTTTCAACCAAGAGTAAGCCCTGAGCACTTCCTAGATGTGGACCTCAAAACAAACCCAACCAAAACCAAACCAAATGTTTTTCCTTTCAGGCTGAAAATGTTGGTTCTTTATTATATCATTATATAATTTCTAACAACACATAATAGGAGTTTCTACCTCATGATTAATTCCTTTTCTCAATGTGAGTCCTTTGGGAAAAGGGATTCTACTTATTAGCCTTTGAATTACAGTTATTAAGAAATTCAGTTTCATTTGTTTAAGAATATCAAAAACTAAGTTATTAAGCTTGATTAATTTGCTAAATTTAAACTTTAAAAATATACATATGTTATTAAATTAACATGTAAATTACAGTTCTGACAAGATATCTGCTTTTTGTACTAATAGAATAATTGGATTTTTTGGAACCAGATGAAACATGTTTGAGTTAATAATGGAAAAGCAATCTCTCTCTCCACTTACCCTGCAGGCATCATAAATTCCCTCTAGATAGCCAGCACAAAACATTCCAAATTTTATATCACTGCCATACACATGTGGTTGCTTGCACACATTATCACTTATGAGTTTTAGTCTGGCTTCTCGAAGTTCATTTTGGGATTCCCCTTAAATAAAATAAAATAAAATACTTTTAGTGTTGACCATCAGTATTTTTAACCAAAATGGAATGGAGTTTTTCAAATCTTTTTTTACACTAAAATTTTAAATCCAAAATAAAATTAAAATGCAAACAGTTCTAAAGAAGAAACTCCTGTATAAATCCTGGCACATTTAAATGGCAATTATTGCTCCTATTATATTTTTAGAAATACCTCTACATGCAAGAAAAAAATTTTGTTACTTTGTACTGAAAATTATTTAATTTAAAAGCAATTTGCTTATATATTTAAAAGCATTTAATTTTTAGGGGGCTGGAGCGATAGCACAGCAAGTAGGGTGTTTGCCTTGCACATGGCCGACCCGGTTCAATTCCCAGCATCCCATATGATATCTGAGCACCGCCAGGAGTAATTCCTGAGTGCATGATCCAGGAGTAACCCCTGTGCATTGTGGGTTGTGACCCAAAAAGAAAAAAAAAGTATTTAATTTTTTAAAAAGTTGTTATTTTGAATTCCAGGGTATTGCTAGAAATTCTGTAGATCTAGATGATTTGTCCTTTATTCAAATGAAATAAGTATGAAACTATTCACAACAATTTTCTCCTTTACATTTAATGAATAAATTTTTCATTCACAATGACATCAAAGGCAATAAATTAATTTTTTATGACTTAACAAATTTATAATTCCACAACCACTGCCTACTGTAGAAAGGAAGAATATTACAAACATTCAGATATAGGGCGTTTGCCTTACAAGCAGCCAACATGGCCGACCCGAGTTCAATTCCTCCGCCCCTCTCGGAGAGCCCGGCAAGCTACCGAGAGTATCTCGCCCGCATGGCAGAGCCTGGCAAGCTCCTCGTGATGTATTCGATATGCCAAACACAGTAACAACAAAGTCTCCAATGGAGACGTTACTGGGCCCGCTCGAGCAAATCGACGAACAACGGGAGGGCCTTTACCTTACCTACCTTATGGACATTATTCTTATATATCTGGGTTATATTATATGGCCCAAGTGAGAATTTTGCAGATACAGATAAAATTCCTACTCAGTTTGACTTTGAATTCACTTAAAAGCATATTATTCAAAAGATTATTTAAAAAGGTCTGCTGTAATCAGATGAGTCTTTTGAAAACAGGATTAGGCATTTTTTTGAATTCAGAAGCATTTCCAAAAGATATTAAAGAAGGAAAATGCTGTGTTCTAGAACTACAAGAAAATGAATTCTGTTCATAACCTCTGAATTTGGATCAAAACTTTTGGAGTAAGCTATAGATGGAACCGCAATCCTAGCCTACATTTAGTTGCAGTTTCACGAGATTATGGGATAATAATAACTAACTAAACTGTGTCTGAACTTTTGACCCACAGGTGGTAATAGCAGAGTGCTTTTGTATTTAAGCTGTTAAATTTGAAGTAGGAACTGCAATTGTTGATTTAAGATCGTTCTTTCCTATGCATTTTGTCTAAATATTCCTCTCTGCCTTGCTTTAGCTGAATCCTGCACTCAGTTATACATTCATTCACAATTTTTAAAGAAAAACTTAGTTCTTGGGGCTGGAGAGACAGTACAAGATTAATGGCTGCCCCCGGACTGATTTCTAGCATATAGTTCCGAGATATAGTTCCATATAATATAGTTCTCAGAGCACACCTGAAGGTGCGGCCCCCAAATTAAGAAAAAGACTTTGTCGTCTTTTTTGTTGATTATTTAGACATATGTTATTTAACTTATAAGTGTTTGGGGATTTTTCCTCTTATTTTTCTATTACTGATTTCTAGTTTTATTCTGTTACAATCCAAGAGCATATTCTGTTTGATTTCAGTTCTTTTAACTTTGTTGAAAATGTTTTACAGACCTAGAAAAGGTCTCAGTGAATATTCCACAAATCCCCAAGCATTCCGGTATTTTTAAGTATCATGTAAGATTTTGATGCTATTCAAAAAGGTATCTTGATATGGTATAATTCTGAACCAGCCTAATGTTTCTGGCCCAAATCTTCCCACCAATAAGATGGTAATATGAGATGCCTTTTTATATATCATGAAGCAGAGAATGCAAACCTATCTTAAAAGAAAACCCACTTGAGAGCATAGACATTGAGGTGCCATTCTTACAGCTCTACTTAACCACTCCTGGAAATTAATAAACCATAAATAATATTTTCTGTATTTGTTATGATTTTAGGGAAAGCTCTGTATAAAGTATTATATTCATCTGGAGACAATCTAGAAACTATCAAGCCTGTTTGGGATCATATTTAAAGAAATATATTCCTTTCCCCTTTAGTGAGAATAAAAGTTAAAAGTTTATTATCTATAAAGAAATTATATAGAGTTCTGTGAATGAACTTGGTAATTCTCAAAAAGTCTTTAATTTCTTCTTAAGCTCTGAATCAAACTCATTAGCTATTGTTATGTGTGTACACCTAGACCAGACTGTAGTATTTATTTGGAGTATTCATGACTAAGTATATCAAAATTTTTTGAAAAATAAAAAATTAAACTTCTTAGCAATGATCTCCTAATATAATTTGTGTGAAGAAAGTTAAATTATACTATTGAGAGCAATGGAAGTTTAGTATCAAAAAAAATTTATCTCTCAATAGAATTCTTATTCCCAATAGTTCTTTAATTAGCTTATTTAGCTCTGAAGCATATTTATATGCACTGGAGACCATGGCTGAAAAAAAATAAATTCTTGTCAGCTGACACTGAAAATGAGTGATGTTAATGGGAGGAGGGATGAGGAGTACAGAGACCAGGGACTCAGAGATGGAACTTAAAGTGCAGTTCTTAGAGTCATGATGACTGCATCATATCCAATGTGCATCTTCAACAATGCAATTTGAAATAGATTTTCGGCTGTCGAGGGAATATCCATTTCTTCTGTATCATCCTTTAAGTCCATCCCTCTGTAACTGCCTTTCCCTCATTCTTTGTGATTCTGAAAGACCACCAAAAATATACCAGTCTTTCTTGATATAGGTCATTCTTGGTATAGAAATAACAGGATTAGTTACCAATTTAAGTACTTCTGGATATAACCAGGGCAACAAGGCTCGAGGATAATGTAAATTCCAGCTGAGAGACAGACATATCCTATGAGGTAAAGCTCATGCAGACTCTCTGCTGCTGCTCACTGCCTTTGCCACTATGTGGAGCTAGAATCCTGCCCAACGAAGATAAAGGGGAAATCAGAGCCAGGAAATTGATTCACAAAGTCAGTCGAATTACAGTAAAGTGAATTCTGGATCTAGCTCTTTCTGAATACATCTTATCTGCTGACTTCAAAGTAGAGAAAATCAAATTTGCCACTTTATTTTAAATTCTTGAGTTAGTTGATTTGACTTTAATTCTATTGCTTCCAAAACAAGACCTCCAAACATCCCAACCAAGAAGGGCTGTAGAAATTTGTACAAGGGTTCAGGATCCCCCAAGCACATAATCCTCAAGCATCACCAGGTATAACCCCAATCCAGGAGGAGCTCCCAGACCCCTCTGAACAACACGTGGGAGCCCTTCTTACTCTCTGCCCACCGTTTCCCCAAATAATCCAACAGGCTGAGTGGAAATGTTTGGCAGAATATTATTATATCACTAAGATTATATCATACTGCCCTACATAGAGGGCTTTGAGACACTTACCACCATAGTAAAGTGCCCCAAAACCTGTGATATAGACTGTTGAGTTTGGTTGGAAGGATGCAGAAGCATCCGGTAAGCACACTCGGCGGATGTCGTTAGAAAAGGCGACTCTAGGAGAGAACTGCACAACAGCAATGTCGTACTCTCTTGCTGGGGAGTGGTATCTCTCATGGACAATTATTCGTCTGACATTCCTTTTCATTAATGGAGGGTTGATTGTTGTTCCAAAGCTCACAGTCCACTGACGTGAATTTGCGCTACTACAATAGGAAATGAACAGATTAAAAACTGCGCTATCATCATAAGTAATTGCATGAAGACTAATAAAAGAGAAAATTCCATTCTGAAAATACTTGGTTGTAACGATAAATTTTGTTAAATGATCTTGATTTAGTCTATTGCCACTATTTTGTTTTTGTCGCTGTTTTTTGGGGGTATATCCTTTTGTTGCTCAGGACTTACCGCTAACTTTGTGCTTAAGGATTAATCTTGGCAAGGCTTTGGATGAAACCAGGTCTGCCATGTGAAAGGCAAGGCTCTTTAATTCCTGTACTATCTCTCTGGCCCCCCATTGTCACTATTTTAAAAGATTTAAAACATACCAACAATATTGTAGAGCTGAAGTACAATACATCATTATTAAGTTTTATTTATTTTTATTTGGGAAGGGGGAGTATGTTTGGGCCACACTTTGCAGTGTTCTAGGCTTTCTCCTAGCTCTGCACTCTGGAATCACTCCTGGCTGTACTGGGCATAGGTGGGACTTGAAGTAAGGGGCCATATGTGATGCCAGGTTGGTACCTTAGGTCCAACAGATGCAAAGCAAGCGCTTTGGAAATGGACTCTTTCTGGCCCCACATTTTAAATTTTTAGACTGTAAAATGCATTAAACATGACTCATGTATGTCTTTAGAAAAATGCTAATTTACATTTTCTGTGATGAGCCCTATTTGAACTGATAGAGATAAAGGGGTGACCAAGCAGCAACCATCCATTCCTGGTGATGTCAACGAAGAAAAATATTTCAGTGAAAAAAAGGAAAAACAAACGAACAAATTTAAAAAAACTAGTGAAAGATCTGTGGTTCACAACACAAGGGAGGAATGGTACAGGATGAGGTTGCAAAGTAGTTGGGAACCAAATCTTATAACGTGTTATAGTTTAGAGTAAAGTGCTTAGATTAAATTCAAATAGTGCAGAAATTTACTAGGTGTTTTAGTGGGGGGGTAATATAATTTTGATATATTTTGATGTTACATAGTTTTTTTTTACTAAGAGTTGGGTAAATGAATCCTCTTTAATGACTACATTAACTTAAAGCACTCATTAAATACATAGATACTATTCATATACATGCTTGTTTTTTTCTACCTAATTATTTCATAACATTTAGTGATAGTGATAGAAAGAAGTGCATATGTAAAAGATGATTACAGTCCAACTTAACAGCTGTTAATTATACTGGGATTACTACTTTATTTTTAAACAATTTGAATTCTTGTTTCTACTTTACTTCCATGTTTAAAAATACTCTAATTAGAAAAACAAGTACTGGTTTGCTAAGACCGTTGGTTTTATAGCATAAATATATTGATATTTTTCTTAATAAATTAATTAGACTTCTTTGAGTTTTAAATTGGTGCAATGGGCTCTCTCGACTAAATTGTGACTGGATGTTATTGTGCTCTAAATTTGATTCCAAATAGCTCAGCTATTTGGGCATTTGCCTTGCACGCGGCCAACCTGACTGACTCAGGTTCCATTCCTCCACCTCTCTCAGAGAGCACGGCAGACCAAGCCACTGAGAGTATCTGGCCCACACGGCAAAGCCTGGCAAGCTCCCCATGATGTATTTGATATGCCAAACACAATAACAAGTCTCACAATGGAGACGTTACTGGACCCGCTTGAGCAAATCGATGAACAATGGGAGGACAGTGCTACCGTGCTACAGAAGATACAACTTAAGGTCAATAACTTACTTCTTAAAGCAGTGAGCAGCAGTGACGAGCCATGTGTTGCTAATCAAAGTGGCCCCACACTGATGAATATTGTTCCTTTGAAGCGAAGCTTGCCAGGGCCAGGCTCCCTTAGCCGCAATGTCTCCAGACATTATTCGGTTGATGATTAATGGAGCAATTCTTTTGCCACAACCTGAAAGAGATGAGTTCATTAAGTTATAAGAAATATTTTCATAATGTTTGAAGAGAAATCAATACAATGTACACAATGTAATATCTGCTTCCATCACTATATCAACAGGTACCATATTAATAAGTGACTGCATATATGTTTTGTATCTACTGATGTGTCATGTTATGTTCACTATCACCATTTATAAATCTGGATGAATTTTGCCTGAAGTTAAGTTAAACTGCGGGGTTTGACATAACACAAAATTTCAAGACAGTCCTGAGGAACTTTTGTGAAAATTACCTAGGTCTACTGGGGATTCCAATCAAGGATCTTATATCTCAGATTTTTTTGTGATTCATCATTGTTACTTTGACATGAAACCCTTATGCGATTAACAATGGCACCTGATCATACAACAGCTGAAAGCTCACTTGTTGCCACTCTATTTCTCACCAATATTTTCTGAATGACTAGTTCTAAAGTGTACATGGATGAAAGTTTCATGACCAGTCTTTCATTCTTCATAATGAACTAAGAATGATTTTATGTTTTCATATAAGCATCACATTCCCTATTGTTGGGAATGAATATGTACCCTATATATCAGGTCAGAGATTCCTTAGCTATTGATGTTAAGAATTAAGCCTGGGGCCGGAGAGATAGTACAGCAGATAGGGCATTTGCCTTGCACATGGTTGACTGGGGTTCGATCCCTGGCATCCCATATGGTTCTCCAAGCACCGCCAGGAGTAATTACTGAGTGACGAACCAGGAGTGACCCCTGAATATCTCTGGGTGTGACCCAAAAAGTGAGAAGAAAAAATAAGAATTAAACCTATTTCAGATTCATAAGCTGCCCAGGCCCGTCCCGTATGCTGCCTATGCCTATGTGTTGCTGCTCAGAGCAACTCATGCACAAATTTCACTCTCATTTTACCAACTTGAGATCCAATGCTGGGATGTGCACTACAGTTCTCTGCAGTCTGGAAAACTTATCTTTTGAGCATACTCTCTCTCTTTCTCTCTCTCCTCCTCCTCCTCCTCCTCCTCCTCTTCCTCCTCCTCCTCCCTCTCTCCTCTCTCTCTTTTCCTGTCTTTCTCTCCCTCTGTTCCCCCACCCATTTCTCAAAACTTCCTCCCAAAATTGTCATCTTGCTTAAAAAATTAAGTTTATTTTAGAGTATATTTCTAATAAAAAAGAAAATATAGTCAGTTTGATTCTTATTTCATCTAAGTATGTGTCAAAAGTCCATTTACCTAGTACTGATTGTACTCTATGTCCATTCTGGAAGTCACTATAACTCTGTCTCTGGCATCACTCTAGTTTAAACTATTCTTCCCTCCTTCTTTATTTTCTAATCTAGAGCCTACTATCTTAAACTATGAGTTACAGCTACATGTGATGATGTGTAACTGTATGTGGTAGTTGCAAAAATTTTGTTTTAAAATAAATGTATAATTTATTATCAGCAAGAGTTTGTTTGTATGTAGATTTTACATATTTGGGGTCACATAAAATCTTCTTGAGCAAATATGAATTAAGAGTGGAAAAGTTTTAAGAAGCCCTGACCTAGAGAACTCTAATAGCTTCCAGTTGAGCCCTTTCTCCGTATAGCAACTAAATGCTATTTCTGAAATGTGTGTAAACTGGGCCAGAGAGATAGTATGGCAGGTAGGGTGCTTGCCTTGCACATGGGCAATGCTAGTTTGGTCACCAGCACCTCATGTGGTTCCCTGAGCACTGACTGCCAGAAGTGATTCCAGAGCACAGAGACATAAGTTTTAAACACTATTTGGTTGGACCTAAAACAAATTTTTTTCACTGCCTCCTTAATGTCTTCCAAATAAAATAAAAATATTTTAGCATGATTTTTCCCCTTTAACCACTCCAGTCATATCTTTCATATCTTTTACCCTGTCCCCAACCACTACTCTACTATATGTTTTTGTAACACTAATAGTTTTCAATTTCAGCAAATGGTCTATTGCTTTCATATCGACACTTTTATATACTATTACTCTGACCAGAGTACTCATTTGACTTAACTTTTGATTTGTGATCACTTATGTCTCTAAGATCACTTCTGATCACACAATGTCAGGATAGCTGAATCCTAATGGACTTCGTAGTACTCTCACTTTCTCCACTATAGCATTTATTGTCCGATTTTATTTTCACTTTTTAGTGATGCTATACCCAGCACTGCTTAAGGACTATGACATCATGTCTGCTGTCACTCTAGTTTGGTATTTGATCTGGTTTGGAAGCCACAAAGTGGCTATACCTGGATGCTTGGGGGAGGCCTTGACGGGCAGGAATTAAACCCAGAGTCTTATGCATACTAGATATCTGCTCTAATACTGAAGCCACTTCTTAGCGCCCCCTGCATACATTTAAAAAATTGCATTCCATGACATTTTTTTATATTTGAATTCTTAATTTCAGAGTAAGTATCATGTTTTATTTATAAAAATAATGCTAGAGCTGCTAACATACTCTCTGGTAGTATGTAAATATTAAAAATACTTATTCCTGGGGTTATACAGGGGGTACATATGGTACTGTTTGAACCCAGTGATTCATATATTCAAGGTAAATGTTCTACCACTGAGCTACACTCCTCACCCAACAGTCAATGATGGGTATTATCTTCTGCCCATTTATCACTTTCCCATTATTTTATTTATCACTAGAAAGTATATTTTGTTTTGTTTTGTTTTGTTGGGGGCACACCCTGTGATTCTCAGAACTTACTCCTGGCTCTCCACTCAAAAATGATTCTTGGCAGTGCTTGGGGGACCATATGGGATGTCAGAGACCAAACCCGGATCTGCTGTATGCAAGACGAGTGCCCAGTCCACTGTACAACCATTCTGGCCCCAAAGAAAGCATATTTAATAGCATTTAAAGAATTTCAAGAAGCAAATTAATTTATTCCAAATCAGAAAGATATAATTTCTCAAACATCATGAAAAGATCACTCTCAGAGTTTGAATGAGTTATTTTATATATTATCCAAATGCTATTTTCTTTCTACAAAATATGAGACATGGATGGAAACTTGTTGAGCTAATATTTAAGTTAGCCTTTCTGATGTGGAAATTGAACTTGTTTTTATAAACTAACCAGACTTACATGCTTGGACAGTTAGCTTTCCTGCTGATGAGCTCATTGCTGAAAAACAAAATAGATGAGAATAATAATTTGATATTCTCCTGGCTGATTTAAGTGACCGGAAATCATCAGAGAATTCTGACATACTGATCATATGCGTTCTGGACAGTTAAGCACATGGAGAAGTCAGGAGAAAATCTGATATAGTAGGGTACTTGTACAATAATTATAGAGATTAATAAGTTACCTTTGATGAAATGAGTAATACTGCAACAGTATTAAGGTACAAATAAAAGTAAAAAAATTCCACAAATGTCGCCCTCATTTATCTTCTCCTCTTCCTCCTTCCCTCTGGTACCACAATTTTGTTCTTGTAGTCTAAGGGTTTGCCTTTGTTGTGCCAATTTTTTTTTTGTTTTACGTCTTCCATATGTGAGTGGAATTATATAGTATTTGCCATTCACCATTTGCTTATTTTACTTAACATAATACCCCAGACCCATCATGTTCTCACAAATGCAGAATATGACGTATTCACAGATAGTTTGTATTGATACATCACAGTGGTAGTCCATTAGTGCAGGATAATTTCTTTGAATTTTTCATTAAGAGATAAGGAGTCCATGACTGATACACCAAGTAGTGGGTTTTTAGGCTTTAAAGTCAGCCATGAGTCATGCCTACAAACCACCTCCCACACCATCTAAACTCATTTACCAGACATGATCCAGAGACTCATAAATAAATCTTGAAAGAGATCAACAAGTTTCAGAAGATTCTTCTGGACACCACAAGGCTCTCTGGAGAGGGGTGGGTCAGCCTAGTTCCCGTCCAAACAGAACCCTGGCAGCCAGCTACACCCACACCCCAGAATGACCGGCATACTCTAAGCCGAACTCCAATGCCTGTGGACGAGTCTCACCCAGAAATTAATCTGCTGAAAAAATTCAGGTATGTGCATTTTGTGACTGAAATCTACAGACTTTGACAGAACTGGGAATTGTCTACCTCTTCCCATTTCCCTGTGCTTCCCGGAAGACCAGGCTGTCACACACACACACACACACACACACACACACACACACACACACACACACACACCCCGAAGCTACCACCCCGTTAAAAATTTGACTCTATAAAAATTTAAAATTCTGGGCTTCCTGGAGCAACATTTCAAACTCTACAACTCTGATAAATCAGACTGATGGAATGGCAACCAATCTCGTTTAACAAAACATAAACACAGAAGGCTTAACTTGTAAGGACATTTTAGTAACCTCTTATACAAGAACTTAATGTCTCCATGGTGAGCTACAACAACTTTCACTAACTTTCGTTTAAGGAAACATTTTTTGATCATTCTGTTAGCAAATTATTGATAACAAACAATGTAAAATATTACTGAGGGCCTGCTGTGGCGGCAGGCTTGAGGTTGCTGGGAAAATTGGAGACAATGGTGGAGGGTAGGTGTATTGGTGGTGGGATGAGTGTTGGAATAGTGAATGCCTAACAAATCATCCTGAAAACTTTGTAAACCACAGTGTTTGTATAAAGTGTAAGAATAAATTTCAAAATATATTAACACAGAACTGTTTTAAAAGTATTATTCATGGGGCTGGAGCGATAGCACAGTAGGTAGGGCATTTGCCTTGCACGCGGCCCACCTAGCTTCGATTCCCAGCATCCCATATGGTCCCCTGAGCACTGTCAGGAGTAATTCCTTAATGCATGAGCCAGGAGTAACCCCTGTGCATCGCCAGGTGTGACCCAAAAGGCAAAAAAAAAGTGTTATTAATGACAGGTGAGACTATGTGTTAAACCGCGCCAGCATGCCTGCCCGGAGGGGAAAGGGTGTTGCTCCATTCGCCCAATCCTCTCTGGAAAGAAAGATGGCGGCCGCACGGGAGCCTAATGGACAGCAGGTTTGAGCCGGGGGTGGGGGGTGGCAGGGACCTCATGGGAAGGGGGGCGTAATGGGCCGTCCTTCACGCCCGACCGAGGTCACCAGCTGTCCCCCATGAGTGGCTCTCCGACTCCAGAGCACAGAAACCAACCTCTTAACTATCTAACTTATAATAGAAATACTTCCAGGGTTAATAAGTAAAATAGCAGAAATCCAAAACCACGCGGCCGCGCGACATCATTTTATTCTTAAACCCAGCTGTAGAAAGCAAATCATTTCACAACGCTGTTTTAGCATGTCTGATTGGGGGGGGGGTCGTAAACTCTAAACAATAATTGTGCATCTTCTATCGAAACAATGTATCTAGTCAAAGTAGATAATTAACTAGAACTCATCTGCCTCACAGGAATTGGGAGGGGTGGGAGGTGGGGTTCTATTGGGGTTCGCGGTTAAAAATAAGTATTGGTAAAGGGAAATGTGTTTGATATTTACATGACTGAGACCTAAACCCGAAAGCTCTGTAACTTTTCCCACAGTGATTCAATAAAGAAATAAATTATTAAAAAAAATATTGCAAAACATGGTGCCTAACCAAAAATTGTAGGAAAAAAAATAAAATTAAATTAAATTGGTGGAAGATTGCATAAAACACCGACAATTTTCAAGATAAAATAGCTTCTAAGCAGACCAAGGATAAACTGATTTATTTCATGTTTCTCAGACTCATATTCTGTAAGCCTAATTTACCATTGTGAAAAATAAGAATTCTTCTTTCTCTTCATCCTTTATAGATACCACTTGGAAAGCTAGGTATAATGAACTCTGCAAAATTGGAACATGTGAAAATATTTAATTAAAAAGTAATCTTCAAAAGGATGCCTCAATTATTTTGTTGTGAAGACTCAATTTATCAGGATAGATTATCAGTGCTTACTCTTTACTCAATTTTAGGTTAAGTGTCCTCTTGAGGTAAGACATTTCTCAGTTTTTTAGAGCTAATTCAATATATCCTGCATTGGATTAGGAAACAATATAATGTTAGAATTCTTTTTTTTTTCTTTTTGGGGTCACACCCAGCGATGCACAGGAGTTACTCCTGGTTCATGCACTCAGGAATTACTCCTGGCGGTGCTCGGGGGACCATATGGGATGCTGGGAATTGAACCCGGGTCGACCTGGGTTGGCCGCGTGCAAGGCAAATGCCCTACCCAATCTGTAATGTTAGAATTCTTAAGATAAAATCCGTTTCATCCAATAGAAATATAATAAAGTGTTCAGAGTCACTTTTTACCAAGGAAAACAAATGAAAACAATAATGAGATATCATTTAATGTCAGTGATAATGGCATAATTGAAAAGATAGGAAATAGTGTTAGTGGGAATGTGGTAAAAATGCAATTCACATTCAGTGTTGGTAGGAATGTCATCTGGTTCAGCCTTAATGGGAAGTATGGAGATTTGTCAAAATAAGAATTGAACTTCCATTTGACCCAGTCATTCCACTTTTGACATCTAACCCAAACAAAAAAAGTACTAATTTAAAAAGAAATATATGCAATTATGTCCATTGCAACAAATAGTTCAATAGCAAGGATATGGTAACTACTTAAATGTCCAGCGACATATAAATGAATAAAAAAGTTGTATGTGTACACTATGCAGTGCATATATATGAAAACCTATACAGTTCTAAGAAAACATGAAATCAAACAGTTTACTGCAATGTGGATAGAACTGGAGGGTATAATGCTAAACTAAATAAGTTAAAGAAAAGATTAATACCAAATGATCTTATTCATCTGTGGAACATAGTGAGACAAAACAAGGAAAAAGAAACCATCAGTAATAAACCCTTGACATTGTATTTCAAAATACTGATAACTATACCCTCCGATAGGGATAGAGTGAACAATAACTGTATCGGAGATGATGCAGAGAGAGTGATAGAGATTTGTGGGCACGTTGGGGTGATGGGTGCATAACTTTGTTTATCAATACCATATGCTTTGGCAGTATCTTACACAAACTACAAGAAAGTAAAACAAAGTATTCTTCCATATACTTTGAGCAAGACACTTCACTTTTTCTAGGATTAATATTAGAAAAATGACTGTGAGTTTAACTAAAATATTTTGGCTGTAGGTACTTCCTGGCAGTATGCAGGCCAGCGGTCACTCTTCAGAGCACTGTCACCGGTAGCTTTGGAGACTCCAGTGCATCCCCTTGCCTAGGCTGCTCTTCATCTTCAGGCTTTCATGTTAGAATGTCAGTCAAGAATTTCCTGTCAGGGGGCTAGAGCAATAGCTCAGCAGGTAGGGCATTTGCTTTGCATGTGGCCAACCCCAGTTCTATTCCCAGCATCCCATATGGTCCCCTGAGCACCACCAGGGGTAATTCCTCAGTGCAGAGCAAGGAGTAACCCCTGTGCATCACTGGGTGTGACCCAAAAAGAAAAAAAAAAGAATAAGAAAAAGGAAAAGAATTGCCTGTCAGCTTATTGATTTGCAGGACACTGGTGCTGGGAAATGTCACTAGTGGAGAGACGGGTGTTGGGATACTGTATGACTGAAATACAATTATGAACAGTTTTGGAAGGGTCTGTCTCACAGTGGTTCAATAGCAAAGTTAAAAAAAAAAGAATTGCCTGCCATGACTCTGGATGCGTGCTTTCTGGGAGGTCTCTCCCCAGAAATAAGGATCACATCTACAGGTAAACTACCCATGCAGAGTCACTTGCTCTATTGAATATTTCTACCATTGAGCAAGTATTTTTGCCTTACATGTCAAGGAGAAAATATAAATATTAGCCCAAGTACTGAAAGTGATCGTCTTTCTGAGTTGAGAATGATCTAGACATGACTGAGCACTCTACATACTACAGATGGAAACTCAAGTGCATACTAGCCACCGCGTAGACAATCAGTGACTCCCATGTAGCAATAGTGTTTGCAATGCAAAGAACTTGACTTTAATTTTGTTTTGACACGTTTCATCTAATGAAAGATTCCCCACCACATTGTTAATTATCCAAAAGAAACAGTCATGCCTTGAATATACTCTGAGTAAATCTTGGGTTGCACGTTTATTTCAAGACACAGTCTAGAATTTTTTAAGTTGTACATTTATTGAAAAGTTTAAAACATGAATGTGTTCCCCA